CTTCCTTCCTTCCTTCCTTCCTTCCTTCCTTCCTTCCTTCTTTCTTTCTTTCTTTCTTTCTTTCTTTCTTTCTTTCTTTCTTTCTTTCTTTCTTATTTTTATGTCTTTTATTTTATTTTGAGAGACAGAGAGCAAGTGGGGGAAGGGCAGAGAGAGAGGGAGACACAGAATCTGAAACAGGCTCCAGGCTCTGAGCTGTCAGCACAGAGCCCGAAGTGGGGCTCAAACCCACGAGCCGTGAGATCATGACCTGAGCCGAAGTCAGACGCTCAACCGACTGAGCCCCCCAGGCGCCCCTAACGCCGTTTATGTTCTTGAAACGGGATAGTTTTCTTTCCCCACCTCTCTCTGTCCCGTAAAACACAAGCCAGGAAAATAGCTACAAACTGCCAGTGAAATGTAAACAAGTGATGAATTTTTTAAAGTCCCCCCAGTATACCCTTCCCTTCTCCAGCAAGAAAAGGAAAGCTACCAGGAGAGTCTGCTGATCACTAAAAGGAAAATTGAAACACTTCTCTCCTGGCCATCCTTAGATCATGGGAAGAACCCGTGCTCTCAGGAACAGGCGGAGACGCAAAGATCATCCACCACTAAATACAACGTGTGGGAGCCCTTTTGGCAGAAACCTACTTGAGGTATCGGGAAATAGGTATAATTTTTGGTGAGCGCACATGTTTCTGTTATGTTTTATAGCCTTTATTTTAAATCTGAAGTAAGCCGCAATAAGTGTCATATGTTCTTAATTAAAATCAGCATTTGGATCCTTTCTAAATAAGCACTGCAAGGTGAGGGGTTGGGGAAGCAGGCTCAAACATCTAAAAGTTTTTTCTTGAACTAGTAAAGATAATCAAATATTTGGGTACATTTAAGTATCCGCGAGAAATGAACAGTGGTGTTCTTTTTGTTTTGATTTTTGTTTTTATTTTATTTTTGAGACAGAGAGGAACAGAGTATGAGCAGGGCAGGGGCAGACAGAGGGAGACACAGAATCTAAAGCAGGCTCCAGGCTCTGAGCTGTCAGCACAGAGCCCCACATGGAGCTCGAACTCATGGACTGTGAGATCATGACCTGAGCCGAATTTGGGCACTCAACCACTGATCCACCCAGGCGCCCCTGAACAGTGGTATTCTTGCAGCTGAGAGAGTCAGTAAACCCTGAAAGCCCATCCCCA